GTCGCTGGAAACGGGGGAGAGAGAGGGCTCAGCGGCGGAGGAGATAGGGGCGAAGAAGAGAGGAGCGTCGTCGGCGGGGGATAGAGGGAGGCTGTGGGCGAGGCAAGTGCCACCGGCAAGGGGGGTTTATAGCGGCGAGTGGGCGGTGGGCGGGCGGCAGCGTGTGGACGCGTGGCGGGGAGGGGCGGGACGCGCAGCGGCACGCTTTCACTGCGCCGCCCGTGAGGAATCAGTGGAAGGCTGACCGGCGGCAGGCTTCGCATTGATTCCCGTGAGAACCGAGGCAATGAGGACGACGAACATTCCCTTCGTCACCAGTCGCTGATTCAGTGGGTTCACTGGTTTTGGTGCCAAAATCTTTTCCCCGGCGACCCCGGGCGTCCCCCAGCGCACCGGGTTCAGCTTGAGTCCGCCGGCGCCAATTTTGACCCTAACCAGCAAAATTTGGGCTACTGATGGCGTGACTGGGCCGATTTTTTTCAAGCCGGCGCTAAAAAGGGGACTGGGGGCCTATTGGGGGTGCGAGTGGAGATGCTCTAAGGCCTCATTTGGTTGCCCAGGGAAACATGCCTAGGGTAGCAAAACCGGAAGCACCTATTCGGCCGAAATCACTAATTAAGGAGTACTCGATGCAAAGAACACTTCACTTTCCCAGGTCGCGCCAAGTGGCGCACATGCAGTGCGCCACTTTGTCGCAACCTGAGAGTTTTCCCTTTTTTCATAGATTCATTTATTCAAAACGTTTTATCTCTTAAACCGTGCGTCCAAATCTCGAACCGTTTTCACCATTGGATTTCTCGCGTCGATATCTTCGAAACTAAATCCCGTGTTGATAGGTTTTGACGAACTTTTTTTGACGAAAAAAACCGGACGAAAAAACCGAACCGGAAGCACGTTTTTTTCCCTTTCCGAAAGAGGCACACCCGTGCCTCTCGCGAAATCACAACCATGCCTCTCGTGGAAGCAAAACCGTGACTCTCGTGGAAGGAAAAAAAACAAAAAACGCGTTTTTTCCGTTTTCGAGAGGCACGGCCGTGACTCTCGCGAAAGCACAACCGTGCCTCTCGCGGAAGCAAAACCGTGACTCTCGTGAAAGAAAAAAAAGCAGAAAACACGTATTTTTTTCCTTTCCGAGAGGCAAGGCCGTGACTTTCGCGTAAGCACAACCATGCCTCTCGCGGAAGCAAAACCGTGACTCTCACGAAAGAAAAAAAATAGAAAACACGTTTTGTTTTTCTCTTTCTGAGAGGCACGGCCGTGACTCTCGCAAAAGCACAACCGTGCCTCTCGCGAAAGAAAAACCGTGACTCTCGCAAAAGAAAAAAAACAGAAAACACGTTTTTTTCGTTTCCGAAAGGCACGGCCGTGACTCTCGATAAAGCAGAACCGTGCCTCTCGCGGAAGAAAAACCGTAACTTTTGCGAAAGGAAAAAAAATACGTTTTTTCGCGCAATTTTTTTTTCGAATTTTTTTTGATCGAAAAGCTAAAAAAGACCGGGGGAAAACCAAAACGTTGAAAAAAACCAGGAAAAAACCGTTTAAAAAGCCGAAAACGCGTGTGGAAAAATAAAAAAAATCTGAAGGGAGCGTCCAGAGCGCGACACATGGCGAATGACTGAGAGCGCACCAAATGGCGCTGATCGTTGCGAGGCTCCCGAAGGAGCGCTCGTTAACTAGTTGCTCCCCTATTCGGCGCCTTAAGACATCTAAAAACGTGGCTCTCTGTGAATCGAACTCGCGACCTCACGCTCGACTTCGAGTTTGGCGAACCGGTACACATAAAAGCTGCTAGCAATTCACTTCAGCACGAATTGATTTAAGAACCAATGTAGCAGCGCTACTTCGCTTAGATTTTGACTTATTTGAAAACATTAATGAAAAACGTGAATGTATGAAAAATGTGGACAAATTTGGAAAATTGACGAACATGCATAAAAAGTTGGTCAATGTAAAAAGGGTTCATGTATTCAAATAAGTTCATGAATTCAAAAATAAAAGTTCATGAAATGGAAAACAAAAGTGCACTAATTTTTAATAAACAGTTCACAACAATGAAAAATGACCATGAGTTTGAAAAAAGTTCATCGAGTTTGGAAAAAAGTTCACTGAATTTGCAAAAAGTTCATCAAATTTAAAAACAGTTCATCAACTTTTGAAGAAAGCTCAATGTATTTACAAAATAGTTCATCGAATTTGGAAAAAAGTTCACTGAATTTGCAAAAAGTTCATCAAATTTAAAAAACAGTTCATGAACTTTTCAAAAGAGTCCATTGAATTTTAAAAGGAGTTCATCGAATTTGGAAATGTTCACTGAATTTGCAAAAAGTTCATCGATTTTGAAAAAAAGTTCATCGAATTTAGAAAGAGTTTATCATATTTGAAAAAAGTTCATCGAATTTGAAAAAAAGTTTATCAATTTAGAAAAAAAAGGTTCACGAAATTTAGAAACGCGCGCATTAAATAAAAAAGGAATAAGTAAATGGAAAAAATAAGAAAATGGAAAAAGATAAAGGGAAAAAAATGAACTTAAGGAAGTAGTGAAAAAGAGAACAACTGTTCAACCAGTGTAGCGTAGCGTGGTGGTTGGAACAAAGTGCTCGCAGCGAATACTACACGGGCTGACCTAGAGCAGGG